CCCTGTGATTCCGGCCATGAAAGCCTTCGACATTACAACTATAACATTACCTTTCCACTTTCACTTACCTGGCAACATCTAATACAATGTAGTTTAGGGAGACAGTGAAATTTACTGGCTGAACCTAATAATAATAATAATAATAATAATAATAATAATAATAATAATAATAATAATGATGATGATAATAATCTTTATTTAATATCCCACCACCATCTCCCCAATGGGGACTCGGGGCAGCTTACATGAGGCCAAGCCCAACAGCATATTGCAATAAAATAAAACCAAAACACAGTAACAACACAGTAAAATACATACAACATATGAGTACAAAAAAAAAAAAAGATAAAGCAAAATCATACACAATAAAATTACAATGAGCAGGCCGCATGTTCGAGATAAAAAAAACTAAAATACTAAAGAAACTAAAATCAGGATGAGACAGGGATGGAGCAGATTGTTTGTGAAGGAGAAACTCATAAAGGAATGGGGGTCATAAAAATAGACCTTCATACAGGTGGGAAAATATATTCTGGGGATAAAAAAAAAACCATTGAGGGGGAACACCTGTGTATGATAGTATGGCTACTCTCTATTGGAAAAAGCCAGGTTTTGAGATGCTTTTGAATTCTCCTCCTTAAACTACCAATCCCAGAACTCTGTAGGGCAGTGCTACTCAACTTGGGGTCCCCAGATGTTTTTGGCCTACAACTCCCAGAAATCCCAGCCAGTTTACCAGCTGTTAGGATTTCTGGGAGTTGAAGGCCAAAAACATCTGGGGACCCCAGGTTGAGAACCTCTGCTGTAGGTTGTTGTCATAGTAAGCTAAAGGAGCCGAGGTGGCGCAACAGGTTAAACCCTTGTGCTGGACGAACTGCTGACCTGAAGGTCGGAGGTTTAAATCCAGGGAGTGGGGTGAGCTCCCATCTGTCAGCTCCAGCTTCTCATGCACGGACAGCAGAGAAGCCTCCCACAGGATGGTAGAACATCTGGACGTCCCCTGGGCAAACGACCATTTATCTCGCACCAGAAGCAACTTGCAGTTTCTCAAGTCACTTCTGGCACGATTTTTTAAAAAAAGCTAAAGCAACATAAACATACTACCCATTCCTCCAGAAATGGAGAATGGGGTTGAATAGGTGGTGAAGATTAACATCCCTTAGAATAGAGAAGGTATTAAAATCTCTATTTCCAGGGTCGTTTCTCAGCCTGAATTGAATTTCTTCTCGCTGATAATTGGGAAGGTTGTTGTTTAGGGTTTAGGCGCCACATTTGCAGGAAGAGAATTGCCTCTCCAGGAGAAATAAGGCTCCTGTAACTTTAATAGTTGCTTAAAAAAAGGAATCTTAGCTCAACACTTGTTGAAAACTCCCTCTTCTACACTATTAAAGGTAAAGGAGCCCTGTTTATTTATTATTTAATTATTTACAATATTTATATTCTGTCCTTCTCACCCCACAGGGGACTCAGGGAGGATCACAATGTACACATACATGACAAACATTCAATGCCATAGACACACAACATATATAGACAGACACTCAGAGGCTATTTAACATTCCAGCTTCTGGCCACGAGGGGAGCTGTCACTTCACTATCTGTTTGTGACACTGATGAAGTACTTCCTCATTCTTTGCATACTTCCTGGAGATTTTTATGGCCTCGTAAATCAGTTAAATTAGCCTCCCCACACTTTCCAGCTTCATGTTCTGAATTCCGGCCACCGGGGGAGCTGTTGCTTCACCGTCCAATTGTGACACAGATGGAGTACTTCCTCATTCTTTTGCATGCTGTTGGAGATTTTTATGGCATCGTAAATTAGTTAAATTAGCCTCCCCGCATAAGCGGTAGTTAAATTTCCTACTTGACGGATACAACTGTCTTTCGGGCTGCAAAGGTCGACAGCAAGCTAGACAAATGGTCGGAAGCTTACTCTGACCCGGGCTGGCTTCGAACTCATCACTTTTTGGTCAGTAGTGATTTTTAATGCAGCTGACTCCCAACCAGCTGCGCCACAACCTGGTCCTGTTGCTTATTTTACTTGGAAATCCCATTGTGAGTATGGGGCACAAGAAGCAGCAGTTTGGGAGACCTAACAATAAATGTATGATGATGATTTGATACAAAACGAGATTAGTACATGGTAAACAAGATCAGTTTGCTGGCTTTTGTATTGGATCACATGTCAGACACTTCCGAAGAGTCTAAGACTGTGTGCTATATCAGCAAAAAAATGCGTGCAAGTCCGAGTAGGGTGGCCTTTTGCAGCTCCCCTTTCTGGGCCTTCGCCCGGATGTGTTCTGTTGAGCTTCACGACAAGGTCCACCAGTGTTCACGTTTGGGCATATTGAGTATTTATGGCAAGTTTGGTCAGGATCCTTCATTGTTTAAGTCCACAGTGCTCTTTGGATGTAGGTGAACTACAACTCCAAAACCTACGGCCAATGCCCACCAAACCCTTCCAGTCTTTCCTGTTCGTCATGGGAGTTCAGTGTGCCAAGTTTGGTTCAATTCCATCATTGGAGGAGTTCAGAATGCTCTTTGGTTGTCGGTGAACTTTAAATCCCAGTTACTACAACTCCGAAATGACAAGGTCTATTTCCCCCAAACTCTATCAATGTTCACATATCGAGTATCCGTGCCGAGTTTGATCCAGATCCATCATTGTTAGAGTCCACAGTGCTCTCTGGATGTAGGTGAACTACAACTCCAAAACCCAAGGCCAATACCCACCAAACCCTTCCAGTATTTTCTGTTCGTCATGGGAGTTCAGTGTGCCAAGCTTGGTTCAATTCCATCATTGGAGGAGTTCAGAATGCTCTCTGATTGTAGATGAATTATGAATCCCAGCAACTGCAACTCCCAAATGACAAAATCAATTCCCCAACCCCACCAGTGCTCAAATATGGGCTTATTGGGTATCTGTGCCAAATTTCATCCAGTGAATGAAAATACACCTTGCATATCAGCTATTTACATTATGATTCAGAATAGTAGCAAAGTGACAGTTGTAAAGTAGTAACAAAAATAATGTTATGGTTGGGAGTCATCACAACATGAGGAACTGTATTAAGGGGTTGCGGCATTGGGGAGGTTGAGAACCACTGGTGTAGATGGTCCATCAATGAATGTGATGCTTAGACCTGGCTTCTGTGAGCCCTCCCATACAGCCACATAACCCAGAATGTCAAGGCTGAGAATCCACAATATCTGCTTTGAACTGGGTTCATTGTGTTCACACTGCCAAATAATCCAGTTCAATGTGGATTGTATACACCTGTGTGGAAGCTGTACCTCTATTTGAATACCAGCCAAAACAACAATAGCAAAGCCTTTCCAGAAGGGTTGTTGTAAGCTTTCCAGGCTGAATGGCCATGTTTCAGAAGCATCCCCTCCTGACGTTGCACCCACATCTATGGCAGGCATCCTCAGAGGTTGTGAGGTCTGTTGAAAACTAGACAAGTGGGGTTTTATATATCTGTGGAATGTTCAGGGTGGGAGAAAGAACTATTGTCTGTTGGAGGTAGGTGTGAATTTTTCAATTGGCCACCTTGATTACTATTGAATGGCCTTACAGCTTCAAAGCCTGGCTGCTTTCTGCTTGGGGGGAGTCTTTGTTGAGAAGTATTAGCTGGTCCTGATTGTTTCCTATCAGGAATTCCCTTCTTTTCAAGCAGGCAAGAGTTTTTTCACCCTCCTTGGACATTTCACTTGCTAAGTTTCCAACAAAGTTCAAAACCACTTGTCTATTGGAGATAGGTGTGAATGGAGCAATGGCCCACCTTGATTAGCATTGAATGGCCTGACAGTTTCAAGGTCTGGCTTCTTACTGCCTGGGGAAATCCTTCGTTGAGTGATTAGCTGGTCTTGATTTTTACTGTTGTGATTTTTAGAGTTTTGCATTGAATGGCCTGGCAGTTTCAATGTCTAGCTTCTTACTTCCTGGGGAAATCCTTCGTTGGGTGATTAGTTGGCCTTGAGTATTTCTTGTCTGGAGTTCCTCTGTGTTCTGAGTGTCGTTCTTTATTTACTGTTCTGATTTTTAGAGTTTGGCATTGAATGGCCTGACAGTTTCAATGTCTAGCTTCTTATTGCCTGGGGAAATCTTTTGTTGAGTGATTAGCTGGCCCTGATTTTTACTGTTCTGATTTTTAGAGTTTTGCATTGAATGGCCTGGCAGTTTCAAAGTCTAGCTTCTTACTGCCTGGGAAAATCCTTCGTCTGATTAGTTGGCCTTGATTTTTACTGTTATGATTTTTAGAGTTTTGCATTGAATGGCCTGACAGTTTCAATGTCTAGCTTCTTACTGCCTGGGGAAATCCTTCGTTGGGTGATTAGTTGGCCTTGAGTATTTCTTGTCTGGAGTTCCCTTCTTTTCTAAGTGTTGTTCTTTATTAACTGTTCTGATTTTTAGGGTTTTGCATTGAATGGCCTGACAGTTTCAAGGTCTAGCTTCTTACTGCCTGGGGAAATCCTTTGTCGAGTGATTACCAGGCCTTGAGTATTTCTTGTCTGGAGTTCCCCTCTTTTCTGAGTGTTGTTCTTTATTTAATGTTATGGTTTTTTAGAGTTTTGCATTGAATGGCCAGGCAGTTTCAAGGTCTGGCTTCTTACTGCCTGGGGAAATCCTTTGTCGAGTGATTAGCTGGCCTTGATTTTTACTGTTATGATTTTTAGAGCTTTGCATTGAACGGCCTAACAGTTTCAAGGTCTAGCTTCTTACTGCCTGGGGAAACCCTTCGTTGGGTGATTAGTTGGCCTTGAGTGTTTCTTGTCTGGAGTTCCCCTCTTTTCTGAGTGTTGTTCTTTATCTACTGTTCTGATTTTAGAGCTTTTTAAAAACATTGGTGGCCAGCTTTTGTCCCTTTCCATGCTTTCCAGAAGCCTACCCGACTTCTCCCTTAGTTTCTCCCTGAAGCTGGGAGGGAGGCGGCGAGGCAAGCGGGTGCCTGCGCGTGGGAACGCGGTCTCGACACGTGACTGCCGTCCGCACCAGCGCCGCTTGTTGCGAGAGAGAGAGAGAGAGAGAGAGAGAGAGAGAGAAGGGCAAGGCGAAATCCCGCCCCGACCCTTGGTGCGCACTCGCAGCGGAAGGAAGAGGAGGGGATCCAAGGAGGCACCCCGGGCGCAGCTGGACCCCATCTGCTTGGCCTCCTTCTCTTCTTCCTCCTCCAGGACCGGGTTGAAGGCAAAGAGAGAAAGAGAAGAGACAGAGAGAGAGAAGAGAGCCTCTTCCACATTCTCTCCTGGCGGCGGCGCCCTTCCTCGCCCAAGCCGACCGAGGAGGGAACATGGCGACAGGAGGATCTCCTCCTCTGCTTCCCAAAGCCGCTCGGATGCTGCCGCTTCTTCTCCTCCTTCTGCTGCTGCTTCTTGCAGGGAATCCCATCCCGGTCTCTTCCTTCTCCTCCACCTTGTCCCAGAAGAGCCTCCTTCCTCCCTCCCGGCCCCAGGACCAGGGCTTTGCGGTGCTGCAAACCCAGGAGGAGAAAGGGTCCTGGGGAGAGGAGCTGCGCCGCAAGAGGAGCGCACGACCCGCCGAGGAGGAGGAGGAGGAAGAAGAACACCAAGGAGGAGGAGAGGATGGTGATGGTGATGGGGAAGAGGAGCAGCCCCCGCCCCCGCAGGAGCCCATCCAGGTGTATGGACAGGTGAGCCCCCGCCTCTCCTCTCTCCAAGGCACCTTGGGCACCTTGGGGAAAGAAACACAGCTCCTCTCCAGCTCTCTCTCCAAACCCACCTTCCTGGCATTCCCCAAACCGACCTGACCCCCGTTTTGCAAAGCCAGCTCTTCTGCCTCGCCCCAAGCTGACCTCTGCATTCTCCAGGCTGACCTTCTCCCAAACTGGCTCCTTCCACATTTCCCAGACCGACCACTTTTGAGTTTCCCCAACTGACCCTCTCTCTCTCCACTTCCCAAACTCACCTTCTTCTCCCAATATTCCAAATTCATCACCCCTACATTCCCCAAACTGACCCTCTATTATTTCCCAAACCCACCCTCTCTCCTTTTCAAACCAACCGTCTTTCCATTTCCCAAACCAACCTCACTCCAGTTTCCCAAACTGACCCTCTCTCCATTTCCCAAACCAACACTCTCTCCGTTTCCTAAACTGACCCCCTCTCAATTTCCCAAACCCACCATCTCTCCACTTCCCAAACTCAACTTCTCCCAATATTCCAAATTCATTT